TTTTTTTTTTGGTTTTTCTCCGGTACCGGGAACCGAACTCACGACCTTGCGCTTGCCAGGCAGGCGCTTTTGCCGCTGAGCTAAATCCCCAGCCCCTTAGGGATTTTAATGTAAAATAAAGATCACTGATTTTGGTAGATGTCCTCTAAAATGCAGAATATCGTTGACAAATGCATGTCAATTTTTGATGAAGAATATAGTTTAAACTAATGATCCTGTTGGGTTTACCAGAAAATTAGTCTGCTTAAAATAAGGCATTCCATGAATGTCAATATTTTTCCCGTGGTTACAGTTAAGGTAGTCTATTGATTCCACTTGTTTTGAAAATCATATAGACTGAAGACATCTTGGACATGCCTGATGGCATACACGGTCAGTTATTTAACTTACAGAGTGACTCTTAAACGCTCCATAAAAGAAAAATCTTGGCCTTGTTTGCAGACATTCCCTTCCTGGTCCTGGTGCAAAGGCGCTGTGGCTACTGGGGTGGGTTTCATCTGGTAGCAATTTTGCCTTGGAGGGGACATCTGGCCCGATACGGAAACATTTCTGGTTTTCATGACCACAGCGGGAGCATCTAGTGGGCAGAGGCCGGGAATGCTGATTCCTTGGACAGCCTCCTGCGACCCAGAGTTATCCAACCAACTGTGGCCCAGCTCACTGCGAGGCTGCACGACCTTCACAGTGCTGTCACCACCAGGCCTGTCTCCTGTGTAATTTCTAAAGCAGCAGCTCCCTAGTGTGACTGAGATTAAGAATCATAGAAAGCTTTTTAAAAAGATACAGGGAAAGGAAAGATGCCTGGGTCCACTGCAAACCCAGAAGAAACTCTCCGAAGGCATGCTAGAGTCTGCACTCTACGAGCTCTCCAAGTTATTCCTGCAGTGTTTCTCACCTGGCACTTGGAAGCTGGCTGTGAGTTCACGCATCTATTTCTAACAATCAGAGAACACCTTGATCCTGTACCACTGCCAATGATCACAGCTGATCTGTTTGCTGCAAAGCTCTTATGAAAAGCCCAGTAGACCCGGTGCCGGAAAAAAACCAAAAAAACAAACAAACAAACAAACAAACAAACAAAAAAAAAAAAAAAGAAAAGCCCAGTAGAGCAACACAGTAATGAAGGAACATGAGCCATCCCTATCTGACCCTTGGGTGGGGCTGGGCCATCAGAAAAGATCTGCACTTAGTCACCTATGAGTTGTCACCACTGTTGCAGAAGGACAAAATTAACAAGTGTTTTCTTTTCTCTTTTTGCATGGTACTGGGGACTGAACCCATGGCCTTACACATGCTAAGTAAGCCCCACCCATGGAGCTACACCTCCAGCACTGAAGGACAGAATTTTAAAAAGGCTCTTCAAGCATGTTATTTTATTTGTTGCAGGGATATTATTAAAGGATATACTATATCTTTCCATGACTTTATCTCCTATAGCTCCTTGTGTGTCAACACAAATGAATTAAGAATTGCAAATCTTTTACTTCTCAAGGAACTGCTTCTTATTTCTTCATAAAATAGTACAAGTTATACTATTGGCTGTAACTTCTTTTTCCTTTCCATTTCAGGGCAAAATTTAGAGTTCAGTGGGAATATGTAGCGTGTGAATGTGACTATTTATGTTTGCCTTCACCCTGTTTTCTTGATATTGGTGTAACACTTCACATCAAATCTTGATATTGGTGTAACACTTCACATGTTTCAGCATGCAACAAAATGGAAAATCAGTATTTTCAACAAAGGTAACTTTATGATTGACAAGTAAAAAACACCAAGATAACATTTTTAAATTAAAGTAGCATTAAACAATCTGCTGTTAGTATTAGCAAGGTTATCAGTATTCTATTTTCAAACATTATTTTCTAACCTCAGAAAGTAAATGGACAGTTACAACATTTTTCCTATAAAACATTCCAGTTTTTAAATTTTGAGAAACCCACAAAAAGCCAACATTTATTCTTTTTTTTTTTTTTTTTTTTTTTTTTAAGACAGGGTCTCACTATGCAGTTCAAACTGGTCTTGAGCTTACTTTGTAGCCCAGGCTGGTCTTGAACTCGCAACGATCCTCCTGCCTCAGCCTCCCAAGTGCTGGGATTACAGGCGTGTGCCACCATGCCTGGCTAAGCCAACATTTATTCTTAAAAATATTCTTTGAAGTATAGATTTGGTACTACTGAAGAGAATTTGGCATTGTATTTAAATCTATCAACAATTAAGTTCTACAAAAATGTACACCTACACAGTCAAATTTTCTGACCGTATAAAAACAAATATACCACAAACTATATGTTGCATTATGTATATAATTACTATAGGAAAAAATTTTCTGACCTTATAAAAACAAATATACCACAAACTATATGTTGCATTATGTATATAATTACTATAGGAAATGTGAAAATATATTAGAACATAAAATATGAGATCTGATGCCTTAAAGTTATAAAATCCAATCTTACTTACAGTCAACATTTTCTGGAAATTTTCTGTGAATATCTTTGTAAGTATCCAATGCTTTTTGGTAGTTACCTATAAATAAAAGACAAAAACATTACTAGCATATCAGAGAAACTAATAGGTTTAATTAAGCAAAATAGGAAAAATGAGTTTGGGTAAAAAAATCATTCCTAAAATCTAAGCAAATAAGTTACAAATCGTTTTGGGTTTCACTGTCTTAGAGGAATGGCTATTCTAACCCTGCAAGAGCTCCTGGGAGAAACAAAGTGAAATACAGACAGGACACACTGCCACACAGCAGGTTCTCAATGAACGCTCCTGCTTCTAACCTGTGCTTCAGCAACTCAAGCTGGCTGAAATTAGCCAGGAAGGCTTATGCGCATATACACTTCACAGGACTGACAGGCACTGAAATGATCTAGGTGCTGAAAACTCACACTGATATGTATAACATACGTATAGTACAGCTGTTAATGATCAACTCTTGAAATGACCTGAGGACTACATTGAGTATATATGAAGTATTTGTGGTACACTCCTGTGGCACTCAGAAAGATAAAGAAACTGTCTCCAAAACTGGATAAGAATTGCCAATACTTGCATAAATTGTGCTTTCCTTTAAGACTTTCTTTGCTGGGCTCTGTGTGTGTGTGTGTGTGTGTGTGTGTATTTTTTGAGAGAGGGTGTCACAATGTAGTTCAGGCTGGTTGTGAACTCACTCTATAGCCCAGGCTGGCTTTAAACTCATGGTGATCCTTCTGCCTCAGCCTCCATAGTGCTGAGATTATAGGCGTGTGCCACCGTGGCCACCTTCCTGAGCCATTTTTATGTTATACAGGAGGATTATACATCTGTTAGCAGTGATCTCCTACTGTAATCTCTGATATTTTAAGCATATCATTCAATGTACAGTCTAAAACTCTCAGCATCTCCATCATTTAGAAAAGTATTATCAGCACAAAGCATAATAACAGCAGAGCAGAAAACATCAAGATCTCTAGTGATCTTTGGTATAAAAATATATAGTCCAGTTGTAAACTTTTCTCAGACTTTGCAGGTATAGGGTAGTTTCATAAATTTGGCTGAGCACACAGCACCCTGGGAATCACAGAAGTACAAAATGAAAGTATAAATTAATATAAAAAGATAACCCATTAAAAGTTATGGATACCTGTAACTCATGGATAACTCACTAGAAGTTATTGTATGTTAGCTCTGATGGATAACTATGGATATCCATAGTGGATACGGATAATGGATAACTCATTAAAAGTTATTACGTGTTAGCTTTGAAAAACAGTCTGTTTTTGTTTTTTGGTAGGACCAGGGAGTGAACCCAGAACCTGTGCACCGAGTTAAATCCCCAGCCTCTTTTAAGTTTTTGAGACAGGTCTCGGTACATCACTAAGCTGTCTAGGCTGGGCTCAAACCTGCCATCCTCCTGCCTCGGTCTGTCAGAGTGCCGGGGTCCTAGGCATCCTGAAGTAATCCATTTTTAAAGAGAGGTATCGGAATAGATGACTTGTGCAAGCTGGGTACGTATACAGCTCAACACAGCACATGCTCTGGGTTCCATCCCTAGCTACAAACAAAACAAACAAAAAACCCAAAATAAAACAACTCAACAGGAAGAACAATGCCCACTTCGTAAGTACAACTTTTTCTGCACATAATAATTATTGTTTTTCATATGGTGCTTCAATTATGTATAGTTGTTTTAAAAGTTGGTGTTTTAACAAAGATACAACTGGAACAATTACATGCACAACTACCTAAAAGAAAATTAAAAATATAGAAGAAATGAATAAAATCGAAACATTTACCACTTCTTCTGAAACAGCTTGCTACCATCAGCTGCCATTTCACTTGTGTAGGCCTATAAAAGAAATACATTAGGTGAAATTAGAGGCGATACAAAAATAATGAGATGTTCAAATCATTTTACAAAGCAGTGTATCTGTACCATCTTTCAATTACTCTTTGACTTTTTGTTAGTTTGTTTTTATTACTGAAAATAGCTGAAATATAATTTCCTTCATTATTACCTGTCATGTTAGGACATTTAAATTCACAAGTCCTTCAAAGTTTATCTAGCTCATGTCTTTATTTAGATTCTCTTGGGAGAACACTTAGATCTGTTTGGTTTAAAACCATTACATTCTATTTAAACATGATTGTTACTTTTGTCATTTTCTTTAATCATTATATTTAGGCTTGCAAATATTCAAGGAGCAGCTTTTGATCTTATGGTTGAACAGTCACGCTTTAAAGAGAGAGACAAAAAGAATTCTATTTATCCCTCTTCTTCCCTTACAAAGGAATCAAGTTATTTTCTAAAATAAACAATCATAACCAGGATTTTTAAATACTGCTACAAAGATCAAACAGCAAAAATTGCAGAAGTAAAAGCCTCAGGAACAATGTAATGTTCCTCTCACTTCTGTGAATTTCCCTTCTACTTACCTGATGGCTACAAAGACAATCTCAGTTTCTACTCAATTTGAATGCAAATCTCCCAGCTTTAGAGTAAGATTGATCTGGATTTAAATCACAGCACTGCTACATGGGCAAGTTATTTAACTTCAAACCACTGCCTACACACCCACCTACTGTGATCTAAATAAAATACATATCTAACCACATTACTTCCCTCCTTAAAAATCTGTCACCTCCGCTACCCACATGTTAAATCTAAGATTCTAACCCAGTTTATCTACTTTTCAGTCCTTTTCTGATTCTCCGACTCATCTTCGGCCATGCCTTGCCTAACATCTCAGGCTACAGACACTCCAGGAAGTGTGGACATTTGCTGGACTCTCTGTTCGCACAAACTGTCGCTCTGGAGGCTCATGCCAACCTCTGTGCCCGCTTCAAAGCCAGGCTGGATTTGACTGTTCTAAATGCTCTCTAGCCCCCAAGGACTTCTCAGCACAGCACTTAGTACACAGGTTTATTTGTGTTTCTGAACACCAACATTACTCTCCTTCCTCAATGAATGCAACTACTGTCCTGACTTCTAACACTTTAAACTTGGCCATTTTCTGGTTTTACATAAATGAAATCACATAGAATGTATCCTTTTCCTGATGCTTGTGTTATTGAGCTATATTCCACATACTACACAATAATTTTAGTATGTTACAGTAATTTTCAAAAATTATAATAAAACACAACATAAAATTTGCCATTTTAACTATTTTTAGGGACAGTGCTGCACAACTATTATCACTATCTACTCCCAAAACATTTTTCATATTATCCAACAGAAACCCTGCAACCATTAAGCAATAACTCTATATTCCTCCCACCCTAGTTCCTGGTAATTTCGAATTTCCTCTTGTCTCTACAAATTTGCCTATTTTACATACAGTAAGTCCCTGACTCAGGAACATTCGAGGTACGAACTTCCATGGATATGAAGGAACCTTGCATTAGGAACATTCACAGACGCGGACAAGCTGAAGACGCAGCTCCCATGTCTGTGGATGTCGTTATTAACCGGGGGGGGGGAGGGCAGGTGTGAGACGGTGGAGCTGGGGCGTCACCAGCAATGGGAGGTGGAGGGCAAGATGGAATCCGCTCACACCTGATGTGGGTGACACAGAGGTTTTTGTGGATTCGGTTCTGTCTGTGCTCTGGAGAAAACAATCCAGGCATGTCTGAGTAGCAGCTCTTTTTTTCTCATCACAGATCACTCTGCCCTACGCTCCTTCCTCTAGTCATTGTCTTCCTGTCAGTTCACCCATATAATCCCTCTACGTTGTACTGCACTGTACCACCATTTTAGGGTAACTGTAAAAGTAAAGAGCTTATTTACAGTACTTTCGTGTTTGTTTTTTTTATGCTTTACACTGTATGTCTGTGTCAAAGGTGTATAAGACTCACACTGTTGGACTCAGGAGTGAATCCAACTTAACTGATGTTCTCTCAGAATAGAACTCATTTGTAAGGTGGGCACTTACTGTACTTCATATAAGAGGAATCATACAGCATTTTTGTGTGTCTGGCTTCTTTCACTTAGCATACATAATGTTTTTAAGGCTTTTCCACAGTGCAGCATGTATCTGAACTTCTTTTTTATGGTAGAATAATATTCCATTGCACACATATATACCCCAATTTATCCACCCATCTTTGGTGGATACGGGGTGTTTCCATCTTTTGGCTACTGTGAATGATGATGTGAGTCTCTGCTTTTATTTCCATTGGGTGTCATACCTAAGAGTAAAACTGTTGTATCATATGGTAATTCTAAGTTTAGCTTTATAAGGAATGGCCAACTGTTTCCCATAAACCACCATTTTATATTCTCAGTAGCAATGTACAAAGGTTCCAGTTTTTTCATGTCTTCTCCAACACCTGTTATCCCCTCTTCACTGATAATACTACCCTAAAAGGTGGAGGCAGAATTTCATTGCTTTTTATTTGCATTTCCCAATGACTAAAGGTGGTGGTATCTTCTCATATGCTTGCTTATTTATACCTTCTCTGGAAAAATGTCTACTCAAGACCTCTGCTCATTTTTTAATTGGGTTGCTTGTCATGGTGAGTTGTAGGAGTTCTTTATTAATTTTGGATTTTGGCTTAACAAATGTATGGTTTGTAAATATTTTTTCCCACTTTGTGGTTTGTCTTTTCACTTTTTTTTTTACCTTTGCCAAGCAGAAATTTTTAAGTTTGACAAAGTGTAATTTATCTATTCCTTGTGCTTTTGGTATCATTTCCAATAATATCACTAGTAAAAGCAATGTCATGAACATTTTCTACCAAGATCTCACAGGAGTTTTATAGTTTTAGGTGTTACACTTAGGCCTTTAATTCACTTTGAGTTATCTGTGTATGGTATAATGTAACAGCTCAAGTGTACTCTTTTATATGGGGATATCTGGGTTTTGAAGTACTTTTTGTTGAAATTTACCAATTACATGCAGGTTTATTTTTAGATGCTAGATTCTATTCCACTGTTATATGTCTAACTTTCTGCCAATGCAATACTGTTTTGATTGCTATAGCCCAGCAGCAAATTTTGAAATTAGGATGTGAGTTTTTCAATTTGTTCCTTTTCAAATTATTTTGGCTATTCATGGTTTCTTGAGATGCCATATATTATCAGGGTATATTTTCATTTCTATAAAATATTAGGATTTTGATAGAGACTGCGTTAAACCTAAGATTGCTTTAAATAGCATTGTCATCTTAACAATATTAAATCTTTCAATCCATGAACATGGGCATCTTTCCATTTATTTGTCTTCTTTAATTCCATTCAATATTTTTTGCTATTGTAAATGAAGCTGTTTTATCAATTTCCATTCTAGACCATTCATTGCATATGTATACAAATAGGATTTTTGTGATTTTATTTTTCAAATTAAAAAAAAATTTTTGGTACCAGGAATCAAACTCAGGACCTTCTGCTTGTCAGGCAGGCGCTGTGCTGCTGAGCTAAATCCTTGGCCCTTTTGTGTGATTTTATATCTTGCACTTTGCTGAATTCACTTATTAGATCTATTTGTGTGTGTGTGTGTGTGTGTGTGTGTGTGTGTATTCTTTAAGGATTCTTTATTATATATATGTAACTGTATCTGTGAGCAGATAAACTTTTTCTTCATCTTTCCCAATGTAGGTGGCTTTTTTACTTTTTCAACTTAATAATTAGTTTGAGGGATATAACTCATTGTAAGTCAGCTTTTGTTTAATAGGAAATGTCTTAATTTGTATTTCATTCCTGGAGGATCATTTTGCTAGAAACAGGATCTTGACTGAGAGTTGTTTTTGTCTTCTCATTTTTGTAACTTCAAGACTTTAAATATATCATTCCATTGTCTTCTGGCCTCCAGTTTCTGCTGAGAAATCTGCTGATAGTCTTACTGAGGATTCCTTACATGTGAAGTGTCATTTTTCTCTTGCTGCTTTTAAGATTCTCTTTCAATAGTTTGTTTTCTTTTTCTTTTTTGGTTTTTCTCCGGTACCGGGAACCGAACTCACGACCTTGCGCTTGCCAGGCAGGCGCTTTTGCCGCTGAGCTAAATCCCCAGCCCCTCTTTCAATAGTTTGATTATAACATTTCTTATGGTTAATCTCTCTGGGTTCACTCAGTTGTAGATTCGTGTCTTTCATCAAATTTGGGAATTACTGTTGTACATTATTTCTTCAAACACTGTGCCATTCCCTCTTTCTATCCCTTCTGGAGATCCTATAATGCATATATTGGTCTGCCTGGTAGTGTTTTATGGTAGCAATAATGATATATATCTTAAAAATTTTCTCTAAGACTGTACAAAATGTAACTACATTGAATGGAATCATTAGGAACAGAATTTCTTGAGTTTTTTAGACAAGATTTACAGATCTAAAGAAAATATAAAACAACAGTATAGGTTTAAACCAATTATCAAAATACCAGATTAATAAGAACCAAAAAATATAAAATATAACAAGATGAGTTTCTATAGTAAAAAAAAGCATAATAAGAAATCTATGTGAATTCAATTATATGGCAGGCACATTATAATTTGCAAAGAACTATGTGATATAAGAACTACCATCCCCATCCCTAATGTGCTTATATTTTTATTATAACGGTAAAATTTACATAACAAAGATTGTATACGTATGCTATTACTATGTGTTGACTGAAAGTAAAATATATATTAAAAATTTAGCATATAAAAATATTAAGATGGTGCCAAAAACAAATGCCCACAGAGAGAGGTAACATCATTACTGTGCACTGAATGTCTCCGTCACTGAGAAAGAAGGCAAAAACAGATAAAGATAAATTTAAAGGAAATTAGGAAAAGAGGAATGTTAAAGGAGTTTCTATAAAAGATTTGTATTTACAAAGAAATTGAAGCATAAAATAGGGAGAGGAAC